GTTGGCCATCTGAATTTCTTCTTTGGAGAAGTGTCTGTTTAGATCCTCTGCCTGCCCATTTTTTAATTAGATTATTTGCTTTTTGTTTCTTGAGGTGTGTGAGCTCTTTATGTATTTTGGATGCCAACCCCTTATTGGATATATCATTTATGAATATATTCTCCCATACTGTAGAATGCCTTTTGTTCTATTGATGGTGTCTTTTGCTGTAAGAAGCTTTTTAGTTTGATATAGTCCCACATGTTCATTTTTGCTTTTGTTTCCTTTGCTCAAGGAGATTTGTTCATGAAGAAGTTGCTCATGTTTATGTCCAAGAGAGTTTTGCCTATGTTTTCTTCTAAGAGTTTTATGGTTTCTTGACTTACATTCAGGTCTTTGAATCATTTTGAGTTTACTGCCTAACTCCATACATAAAAGTGATTACTGCCTAACTCCATAGACAGAAGTAATCCAGTTTCATTCTCTTAAATGTAGCTGTTCAGTTTTGCCAACAGCAGCTGTTGAAGAGGCTGTTATTTTCCCATATGGCTCCTTTATCATATATTAATTGACCATATATCCTTGGTTAATATCTGAACTCTCTTTTCTGTTCCACTGTTTCTATGGGTCTGTTCTTGTGCCAGTACCAAATTGTCTTGATTACTGTGGCTTTGTAGTAGAGTAGGAAATTGGGAATCAAGATCCCCCCTGCTTTATTCTTCCTTCTAAGGATTACTTTGGCTATTCCGGGTCTTCTGTGGTTCCATATGAAATTTAAAACTATTTGTTCCAGTTCATTGAAGAATGCTGGTGGTATTTTGATAAGGATTGTGTTGAATCTGCAGATTCCCAAAATGGCAGGATGGCCATTTTGACAATATTAGTTCTTCCTACCCAAAAGCATGGGATAAATTTCCATTTACTCATGTCCTCTTTAATTTCTCTTAAGAGTATCTTGTAGTTTTCAGGGTACAGGTCTTTCAGTTCCTTGGTTAGTTTTACTCCTAGTCATTTTATTTTTTGATTCAATTGTGAATGGAATTGTTTTCCTGATTTCTCTTTCTGCTAGTTCATCATTAGTGTATAGAAATGCAACAAATTTCTGTGTATTAATTTTGTATCATGCAACTTTGCTGAATTCCAATATTAGTTCTAGTAGTTTTGGAGTGGAGTCTTTAGGAATTTTTATGTACAATATCATGCCATCTGTAAACAAGGACAGTTTGGCTTCTTCTTAGCAATCTGGATGCCTTTTATTGCTTTGCATTGTCTAATTGCCATGGCTAGGACCTCCAGAACTATGTTGAATAAAAGTGGAGAGAGTGGGCCTCTTTGTCTTGTTCCCAATCTTAGGGGAAAAGCTTTCAGCTTCTCACTGCTAAGTATGATGTTGGCTGTGGGTTTGTCACATATGGCCTTTATTATGTTGAGGTACTTGCCCTCTATACCCATTTTGTTGAGAGTTTTTATCATGAATGGATGTTGAATTTTGTTGAATGCTTTTTCAGCATATATGAAGATGGTCATGTGGTTTTCATTCTTTTTGTTGATGTGGCAGATGATGTTGATGGACTTTTTAATGTTGTGCCATCCTTGCATCCCTTAGATGAATCCCACTTGATCATGGTGTATGATCCTCTTGATGTATTTTTTAATTCAGTTTGCTAATATTTTGTTGAGTATTTTTGCATCTATGTTCATCAGGGATATTGGTCTGTAGTTTTCTTTTTTTTGTGGTGTCTTTGCCTGGTTTTATTAGAGTGATGCTGGCTTCATAAAATGAGTTTGGAAGAATTCCCTCCTCTTCTATTTTTTGGAAAACTTAAAGGAGAATGGGTATTATGTATTCTCTAAATGTTTGAAAAAATCAGCGGTGAATCCATCTGGTCTGGAGATTTTGTTCTTGGGTAGTTTTATGATTACCGATTTAATTTTGTTTCTGGTAATTGGTCTGTTTAGATTTTCTGTTTCTTCCTGGGTCATTCTTGGAAGATTGTATTTTTCTAGAAAGTTGTCCATTTCTTCTAGGTTATCCAGTTTGTTAGCATATAGATTTTCATAGTATTCTCTAATAATTCTGTGTATTTCTGTGTTGTCCATTGTGATTTTTCCTTTCTCATTTCTAATTATTTTTATGTGTGCAGATTCTCTTTTTCTCTCAGTAAGTCTGGCTAGGAGTTTATCTATTTTGTTTATTTTCTCAAAGAACAGCCCTTGGTTTCATTAATTTTGTCTACTGTTTTATTCTTCTAGATTTTATTTATTTCTTCTCTGATCTTTATTATGTTCCTCCTTCTGCTGACTTTGGGCATTATTTGTTCTTCTTTTTGTAGTTTCAGTAATTTTGAATTTAGACTATTCATTTGGGTTTGTTCTTCCTTCTTTAAATAGGCCTGGATTGCTATATACTTTCCTCTTAGAACTGCCTTTGCTTTGTCCCACAGAAGTTAGAGTGTTATCTTATTATTTTCATTTGTCTCCATATATTGCTTGATCTCTGTCTTAATTTCATCATTGATCATTTACAAGTGTGTTGTTGAGCCTCCATGTGTTTGTGAGCCTTTTTGTTTTATTTGTACAATTTATTTCTAATTTTATATCTTTGTGATCTGAGAAGTTGGTTGGTACAATTTCAATCTTTTTGAATTTATTAAGACTTTTTTTGTCGTCTAGTATGTGGTCTATTCTGGAAAATGTTCCATGTGCACTTGAGAAGAATCTGTGTCCTGCTACTTTTGGGTGTAACGTTCTGTAGATGTCTATTAGGTCCATCTGTTCTAATGTGTTGTTCAATGCCTTTGTGTCCTTATTTATTTTCTGTCTGGTGGATCTATCCTTTGGAGTGAGTGGTGTGTAGAAGTCTCCTAAAATGAATGCATTACATTCTATTTCCTCCTTTAATTCTGTTAGTATTTGTTTCACATATGTAGGTGCTCCTGTGGTGGTGCATAGATATTTATAATGGTTTTATCCTCTTGTTGGAATGACCCTTTTATCATTATGTAATGTCCTACTTTGTCTCTTGTTACTTTCTTTGTTTTGAAGTCTATTTTGTCTGATACAAGTACTGAAACACCTGCTTTTTCCTCCCTATTGTTTGCATGAAACACCTTTTTCCATCCCTTCACTTTTAGTCTGTGTATGTCTTTGGGTTTGAAGTGAGTCTCTTGTAGGCAGTATACAGATGGGTCTTGCTTTTTTTATCCATTCTATTACTCTGTGTCTTTTGATTGGTGCATTCAGTCCATTTACATTTAGGGTGATTATCGATAGATATGTACTTGTTGCCATTGTAGGCTTTGAATCTGTGTTTATCAAAGGTTCAAGGGTAGGTTCTTTACTATCTAACCATCTAATTTAACTCACTTATGCTATTATAAACACAGTCTGATGATTGTTTATTTCTCACCCTTCTTTTTCTTCCTCCTCCACTCTTTATATGTTAGGTGTTGTATTCTGTACTCTTTGTGCTTCCCTTGACTGATTTTGTGGCTAGCTGATTTTATTTTGCATTTAGTTAGTATTTGGTTGATTTACTTTCTTTGCTGTGGTTTTATTTTCTCTGATTACAGCTATTTAGCCTCAGGCATACGTCCATCTAGAGCAGTCCCTTTAAAATACACTGCAGAGATGGTTTGAGGGAGGTAAATTCCCTCAACTTTTGCTTTTCTGGGAATTTTTTAATCCCTCCTTCAAATTTAAATGATAATCTTGCTGGATATAGTATTCTTGGGTTTGAGGCCCTTCTGTTTCATTGTATTGAATATATATATCATGCCTATCCCTTCTAGCCTGTAAGGTTTCTGCTGAGAAGTTTCATGATAGCCTGATGGGTTTTCCTTTGTAGGTGATCTTTTTTCTCTCTCTGGCTGCTTTTAATACTCTGTCCTTGTCTTTGATTTTGCCATTTTAATTATTATATGTCTTGTTATTGTCCTCCTTGGGTTCCTTGTGTTGGAGGTCTGTGGACCTCCATGGTTTGGGAGACTATTTTCTTCCCCAGTCTGGGGAAGTTTTCAGCAATTATTTCTTCAAGGACACTTTCTATCCCTTTTTCTCTCTCTTCTTCTTCTAGCACTCCTATAATGTGAATATTGTTCCATTTGGATTGATCACACAGTTCTCTTAATATCCTTTCATTCCAAGAGATCCTTTTATCTCTCTCTGCCTCAGCTTCTCTGTTTTCCTGTTCTCTGAATTCTATTGCATTAACAGTCTCTTTCACCTCATCCAGCCTGCTCTTAAATCCTTCCATTGTTTTTTTCATTTTTATAATTTCCCTCTGGAATTCATCCCTTAGCTCTTGAATATTTATCTGTAGGTCCAGCATCATGCTTATGACTTTTACTTTGAATTCTTTTTCAGGATGATTGATGATTTCAGTCTCAGCAGGCCCTATTTCTGGTGTTTTAAGGATTTTGGATTGACAAGGTTCTTCTGTCTTTTCATGGTGATGGGAGTGGTCGCCAGCAAGTGGTACATGTGTCAGTTGGAAGAACAAGGTCCCTTCCTGGTTGCCAATTACCTTGCTCCTCTCCACTGCCTGTGCCAGTCAACCACACACAGGGAGAAATCTCTGGGTTAATTTCCTGGCTGCTATCAGTGGGGTGGCCCTTGGGATGGCCTAGGTCACTGTCAGGGGTTGCAGAAGAGTGACATGTGTTCTTCCGTGAGAACAAAGCCCCATTGTGCTTCCCAGACTCTGCACCAGTCTCCGCTGCCTGTGCCAGGCACCCTCAGGATGGCCCAGGGCACTGGTGGAGGTCACAGGTGAGTGGCATGTGTTCTTCCATGAGAAAAAAGCCCCATTTGCTTCCCAGACTCTGCACCTGTCTCTGCTGCCTGTTCTGGGCAACTGCATGCAGGGGGAAGCCTCTGGGTTAATCCTCTGAGCTGCCATGGGCAGCTTGTGATATCCTGGGGCACTGGCAGGGGTTGCAGGTGAGCAGCACATATTTGCCACAAGAACAAAGCCCCTTTGTGCCTCCTGGACTTCGTGCCAGTCTCTGCTGTCTGTGCCAGTCAACTACAAGCAGGGAGCAGCCTCTGGGTCTGGGCTGGGTATCTGTGTGCTGGGTATCTGCGTGCTGACAGAAGCCTCTGTGTGATTGCTGTGTGCAGGGCTGCTTCCCAGCTGTTCCACAGCAATGGTAGGTCAGCTGGTTTGCTTGCAGTGCAGGTGGTTGGGGAGTGAACAGCAGGCTGCTTATCACTGTGAGGGGCTTCAGAGCTGTGTTGCCACCCAGGGTGTTAGGGCACCTAAAGTTCCGTAAAGTTCCCAGCCTGCTGTGCTGAGTGTGCCAGGACAATTTTGTCCATCTGTTAAACCCTTGTCCCTTTAAGACTTTTAAAGCTCCTGGTTTTCTTTTGTCCCAGGGCAGCTGGTTGTGGGAACCTGTTCACAGTCTTAGTCTCGGATTTTACTTTTCCGTTCTTCTAATATGCAGTACACCATGCAGTGTGTGTCTGTGCTTCTGGTGAAGATTACTAGGGCTGGTTATTTAGCAGCCTTGTGCTTCTACTCCTTCTCCACTCTCATACTTTTCCTCCTGCCAGTGAGCTGGGGTGGGGGAAATGCTCAGGCCCTGCCAGGTCATGGCTTTGTTTCTTAGCCTTTCTTGTGGGATGTTGAGTTCTCACAGATGTAGATGTATCCTGGCTGGTGTACTCTATCTTCTGGTTACTCTTTTAGGAATAGTTTTATTTGCTGTATTTTCAAAATATGTATGGTTTTAGGAGGAAATTTCTGCCACACTACTCATGGTGCCATCTTGAGAATAGATCGTGAATGGTATTTCTTCTTGGACTTTGATTTAGGAGAATTAAGTCGCAGTTTTACAGAAGTTTGGCCAAATATCTTCCCCACTGATCAAGATGGTTATCCTACAGATGTGGACCAGAAGGAAACAATCTTCTTTGTTTGAAAAAATAGATCTCTTCTACTGATGAAGCTTTAATCTAATATCAATCATTCATTTATTCAAATCTGTAATTATTGTGTCAATTAATTTGGGTTTCATACTTTTCAAATTATTTTTGAATTTCAATTACAATGAAAATTATTTGATTTAGAAAAAAATGTTTTATTTTGATATAATTTCAAACTTTTAAAAATGTTTTTAGGAATAAGAACATACCACTGAACATCCAAATGCCCTTTACCAGAGTCACCTTTTGTTAACATTTTGTCCCATTTGGTTTATCACTTGTTTTCTTTTTACTAGGTTGCATATTTCATGCCCCTTTACTTCTAAATACTTTAGTGTATATTTCATAAGGATAAAAATATTATCTTATGTAATCAGAGAACAGTTGCCAGCTTCAGTAAATTTAAGTTTGATACAGTGCTTTTTATCTATATTATGAATTCCTGTTTTGTCAATTGACCCAGAAATTATATTTGTACACAGTGAACTGTGGTACCTCAGTGTTAGGACAATGATTCTCATTCACTGAGGAAAAAAATCATAAAGACAATCAGATGAGACTTTCTATAATATCTACCTTGAAGATGCTGTCCGCTCTATTCCAACATGTTGCTTTTATGAAGATCCATAGCAGAAACTTGGGTCAAGTCTTATTACCTGAAAGAGCTGTGTACCTCCAGAATGCTCATAGACATTGAGTATGCATTTGTATTTACTTTGGCTATGAAGAAACTAAAGGTCAGGTGGAAACTCTTACAAGAATGTATGAATGTATGGTGGTTTGTTTTCCTTTGGACTATCCCCAGATTTATTATTTGTATTCTCTCACTGCCTTAGCTCAGGTTGCTATAACAAATTTCAGAGAGTGGGTGGCTTATAAACAACAGAAATTTATTGTTCACAGTTCTGGAGGCTGGACATCTGAGATCAGGGTGACAGCAGTTAGGTTTAGATGAAAACCGTTTTGGGTTGCAGATTGTCAACTTTCCCTGTAGTCTCATTTGGCAGCAAAAGAACGAGATATTTTAGTGCTTGATTAGTGCTCTTATAAGGGCACTAATCCCTTTCACAAATATTCCACCTCATCACTGAGTTACCTCTCAAAGGTGTCACTTTCAAATACCATCACTTTGGGGATTAAGTTTCAATAGGAATTTTGGGGAGATACTAGGCCTCTAATGCCTACTTTCCTTTTCTAATTTCCTCTACTTACTTTATCCTTAATACTCTTTTTAAAGCTACCTTAAGTCCTTTGAGAACAAAGGCTGGGTATAAATAAAAAATAAGTGGACTGAATGCATTCAACCTTGTATACATTCAAACATTTGGGCAAAGAAAATATGATGTACATAATATCAGAATTAAGACAAACAAATTGCCTCATGCCCTAACCAGAGCATATCTGGGTGTCTGTGGGCAGCATCCTTTCACATGCCCCTTTCTCTGTCACCTGCTTACATTTACAACAGAAAATCAGGTGCAAATATCACATTTTCTCAGCAGGATATCTGTGATTCTCTTACACAGAGATTCTCAGCAATCCAAGCAGAGATTCTAAGTCACAGCAGATCCTTGCCAACTCTATGAAGACACGTACATACAGGAGACACTTAGATAAGTAGACATATCAGATCCCTTTGGCAGTTTGATAAAGGAGGTTTTGTAGCATTTGTATTGCTAAGTTTAATTCACATGCACATTCTAGATCTCTTTTTGTGCCTGGCCTCATTCATAATTTAAACTGCTCAATGAGGGTTGAAGTTGTACATATGAACCAACTGCAGGAAATGGAGACCTTTCAGGCTCCTGTAACAATGGCTTTTGTTCTCCTTGATTTAAAAACCTTTTTTGGTCAAAACCCTATGGAGCTGTTTCAATCCAGAACACTTCAGCAGTAAAAATGCAGAGATGGCCAGGTCAGATGTGAAAATGTGATATTTAGAGAACATTTCCTTGAGATTTCTTTACTAAACAACTTTTCCTTCCAGGTCAGGGTGTTGTTTTCTGTGTGGGAAACCCCGTGCTGGCCCACACAGCATTGTCTCTATGAGCAGAATAGTGGGTATGAATGGTGTTATTGATCACTCACTTAGGAATAGATTCGACAATTTAGAAAATACAGCCACACACTCAACCTTGCCTTATTCTCACAGCAACCCGGTAAGATAATTGCAACATGAATTATGATGGTTATTTTATAGATAAGGAAATTGTGATATAATGAGCTTAAAGCTGCCCACAATCAGGAAAGGTCTGTCTGTATTCTATTTGTTCTATTGCAAATCCCAAACTAAACTCATCACTTACCCATTTCACTGATGGCATCCCCATGCTCTCAGTCTTCCAAGATAAATAACTTAGATTGATTTTCAACTTTTCCTTTCCTGGAACTCTCTGTACTTTGTGAAGAAATCAAGCCCTGTTGTCTCTACTCCTGCATGTCCTTCCATCTGTTTCTTTCTTCTGTCACTTCATTGTCCTCTGACTGTGTTTGCTGTGTTCCTGTGGACCTGAATTATAGAAACCATTGTCTAACTAGTCAGCTTCTCTCTGATTTCAATATAAATCTGTTGCCAGAGTGGTCTCTTTAACATATACAAATAGTCATGAACCTTCTTGATTTAGAATCTACAATGGATTTCTACTGCAAGTAAAAAGTTCAGACTGCTCAGGCTGCTAGCAGAACCCTCAACTATTTATATCTGATTTTACTTATAATTTTATTTTTTAAGGTGCTATACATTCCCACCTATAACTTAAATCACAACACCATAGTCTATTTGTTGTCCTTCAAAAACACTATTCATTCTTTAGTTGCTGGCTCTTCACTCAAGCAACTCATACCATTCCCAAAATCCGTCCCTAAGGATTGAGCTCAAATATGCCTCCTGCAGGAAACACTCCTATATTTCTTGAGCTGGAATTCCTCTCCTTTTCCCACATACTTCCATGGCTTTCATTTTAACCTCTATTTGCATACTCACTGGAATCTAAGCTTTTCATAATTATTTCTGTGTGTCTGTCTTCCACACCAGACTACAAATTCTGGAAGGGCAAGGCCCAAGTCTTTATATTTATTTATTTGTCATTCTACACATCCACTTCAGTGCTTTGTGTTAGTGGGCATTCAATAAATGTGTGCCAGATTAAATTATTTAAGAATCTCAGGATTTGGGGTTAAAGTATTATCTCCATTTTTATTAAAAGGAGGAGGTCACGTGAAAGGTGGAACACTTTCTCTATGTTTAGTTTATCAGAACAACAAAAGGCAGAACAATGTCCTGAGAAACAAGGAGAGGAAATAGAGAAATTAGGAATGGGAAGGCTTGGTGACCATAGCACAAGTCAGGATGAAGGAACATGGCCTATAAAGGGATATACAGAGCAAATGTGGTGGACAATAAAAATGTGGAGGGGAGGGAAAGAAGGAGGCTAGTACTTTTTTTTGTAAGCACCAATCATGTGCCATTCACTTTAGCAAAGGTTTATATTTAAGTCTTACAGTAGCCAAGAAAAGGTTCTTATTCTATTAACTTACTACAACTATTAACAGTAGCCAAGAAAATGTTCTTATTCTAACTATTAACTGCAACTCAAAAAGGTTTAGTGAATTTGAATCCAGGTCCATCTGATTATAAAGACTGTGTGCTCCGTGTCATGTTGACTTGGATGAGATGGATACTTGGTTGGGGATGAATAGAGGTGTTAAAGGATGCAAATGTTAGATGGGCTATCAAGTGTTCATAGAAAATTTCTATTTTATTTATGACTTCGCCTTTGGTTAATTTTTTTGAAGAACAAAGGAAAGTATACTCTAACGGGAGATAGACCTGAAATCAGATCTCAAAGTTGTATTCCATAAAGCCTCTGTGCTTTTCACCATACAAAGCCTTCCCATGTCCAGTTGGGCATTCTGCAGCTTGTTCTGGATCTCTCTCATTGTGAGAGAGGTAGATTTTTATATAATCACTTTCTTTTACAGATTGAACTGTGGTGTGAAAGTTAGTCTTGCATCTTGTAGACCATAAATCTGAGTGGGACATGCTGTCTTGGCAAAAAACAGTAGTGATGTTCTAAGTGTTTATTGCCAAAAGCAATAGCGTCATGACAGCAGATAATTATGAACAGTGCCAGTGAGCAGTACTGGGAAGTGATGGCTCAGAAAGGAAGGGCTCAGGGGCTCAGGCTGAAACCAATCCAATTCTCAAACCCTTGCCACTGATCCACCTTTAAATTCAATCTATTTTCTTCCTTAAAGAACAGAAGTTTGCTTGGAGGGAAGAAGCCCCTTGAGAGTCATCTAGAACCAGGAATGAAATGATCCAGGGCAAGGAGGTTTTTCTGTTTTTGTTTTTTAATACTAATTCTGAAGCATCTTTAAACCCCCAAACCTATAAATACTACTGGCAGATTTCTGAAGACCCTTGTTCCTTAGGATCTTTCATTCAATTTTCGCTTGTGATTTTCAGTGGACACATTTTATTAGGTGTCATGGCTGGATCTTGCTGTCTCTTTCTCTTGGTCTCAAGCCAACTTCTGGATGAGGGCAATTCAACCTTCACAGCATAGTTAGGAGAAGAGAAAAATCGAATGAATTCAGGCTGTCAGGGAAAAAGTCTGCTCCAGGTCTCTCTTTCACAGGGAAGAAAGAACAGAGGTAGTCAGGTTGCAACCAGGCAGTGTCTGGAAGCAGGGTGTCGCCTGGACGTAGGGTTTCCTGCTGGAGTTAAAGAGGCCCTCTGTTACATAAGACCTGGCTGATGTTGCTTTTTAGGCAAAGCTACTCTCTGGAGGCCATTCTGAGCCCTGCTTTCAGGAGCCTTTGCCTTGGTGTGTCAATGCTTATTTCATCTCCACAAAACACTCCTGTTTACAAGGCTGCATTTTATCTGAACCTGTGCCCTTGTGAGCAAATTTCTCCAAGAGTAAATGAGGTACAGCTATGACCAGAACATTTCAGGAATTTCAGTATTCTAGCAAGTGAATTGTCCACATAAATCATGACTAACCACTCGGTATGCAGGAAAAAAGCATTATTCTGGGAGGATCAGGAAATTTCTTTCAGAGTATTACCTACTTCTTAGAACATTCCAAATGTAATCCTAAGCTTTCCTTGATGAACTGAGGTCATAATTAAATGCATTGATTTACTGCATGTCATGACATGATGATTTCTTTAGGCAGAGTTGAGAGGCAAATATTTAGTAATAGTACATAATAGAACTAACCAATCAGGAATGAGTACTGGCCATGAATAACCCATGCGGTCTAATTAGTGAGCACTCAGATATTATCAGCCTGTCCTTAGGAGTCAAAGTCCTCAAACTAAATATCTTCTAACTGACTGGCATTTAAAAAGTCTCTACTTATGTTAGCTAATTGAATTCTTAAACCACATTATAATACAGGTAAAATTATTTACATTTAACAATGTTAAAAGGACTTAGGAAGGCCAACAAACTTGCTTAATGTCACACACAGGTAAGTGGCTAAGTTAACAATCGATCTCTCCTTACCAGCCTGACACCATTGTCACCTACAACACACTGCCTTGCTCATTCTTCTTGTCCCTAGTCGTCTGTTGTAGAGAAGCTACACAGTCAAGTTTAATAAGTTGGTAGTCTCATTTGGATACTACATGGTCCCCTCTCCTTTATTATTTCAGTAAACAAGCATTTATTGAATACATATAATGTGCAAAGCACAGAAAAATCAAACAAGCCCTGCATACTGGTTATACTACTACCATGTTCTACATCCAACCTAACCAAGTAATCTCTACCAGTTGGCCAAATGTGAGTGCTACAATCTCTCCTACAAGGCAGAATTGTTAACCTTTGGCCTAATAGAGACCTTTTAAATTTTGTTTTAAATTTCATGTTTAGTGGATGACACAGTGGGAAGGCTAACTCTGGATTAGCAGGTTATTGATAAAAGTTTTACCTTGTTCCCTGCCCATCAGCCTGGCTCCCTTTAACCTAAAATACAAAGTTACATGGAGAATGTGCTAGCAATCCATATACATTGGTACCAATATAGGTGGGAAGAAAATTTCTTTCTTGGTTTTAGTTCATCCCATGCATATTTATTGAGTGCCTACTATGTCTTAGACACTCTTATGGGAACTGATCTTGATGTTTTCTTTTCAGGTCTAACTCTGCTACCAATCACTGTTCTGTTTGAAGCAGCTGCATTTGTACTTGTATATTCCAAATGCCTGCTCAAGCCTCTTCCCCCTTTACAGCCAAGAGCAACATGAAGTCTTTGAAGCAGAGTTTATAACCTTGTTTTGCTATTACTAATATAGCATGCTGTTCTCATCTTAAGTCTGATTTGGCTATCAACATGGTAACATTTTGGAATGTTTTCTCAGAGAGCCAACAGTAAAAAGGAAACAACAAAAACAAAAAAAAGCACAAAGAGTTCAGAACAAGTAGATTCCTTCCAGAAAAGTCTACATGAAAGAATTCACTTCCCTCAGTACCGTAAGAACCAAGTATTTGGCATCAAAGGACAGGTTTGGGTATTTTTTTTTACTTTGGCAAAAAAATTTTCAGGGAAACCTGGGAAAAATGTTACTTCTCTTTTGAGCTCCTCAATGGCTCCTCACCATCCTTTGGGAAGATGTAAACTCCTTAGCAAGACATAAGAGGACTCTACGATTTGACAATTTTATGTCTTTTCAGAATCAGCTCAAGAATCATTCCTTCCAAGAAAGCTCTCTGGATATCCATGCCTCAGTAAAACTGGTCAGTACTTCTGTGTTCTTACTCAGCTATTCAGTAACATTTGTCATACTGAATTCAAAGCTTAGGTTCAACAGTCCAATTGCCTAGGATTTAAACTGGATTTCCACACTTGTTTAAGTTCCAGCAAATATCTCAATATCTTTGAATGTTTGGCTCAAATATATTAAGAAATCTTATTTTTGTACAGTTTCCTTATCAGTAGAATGGTGATAAACATTATAGAATATTTCTAACAGGTATGTTATGAGGATTAAATGGAATAATATAGATAAAGTATCTATCATAACATGTGACAATTAGATCTCAACAAATCTTACCCTTATTGGTATTGCATGCCTTTGTTTTTCCTGCTGGACAGTGAAATCATCAAGTGCAAAATCTGAGTCAATTGTATTTGTGTCAATTGTATATCTGATGATGTTTGTATCTAGTTCAAGGGTAAAAGTTTCATAGAATAGGGTATGATTCATTATGAGGTATATTAGAATAACACTAAATAATAACAAAATTTTAAAAAAGTACAATTTCACTTTTTGGTTCTATAACATTTCAAATACATGTTTCTTGATCATCAGGTATCTCTTCAGAAGTGCAATAGGGAAACCCTGAATCCTTCCAACATGGGCCTTTTCCGTCTGCAAAACATGGCTTCCAAGATCATCATGCTCATTTTTCTCTAAAGGGCAAAAAGGGAAAGAAGGGGAAAGAAGGGGAAAAGGCATGCTCGCTTCTTGACCACCTGGATCAGAAAGAAAATACCTCACCTCTGCTGACATTCCACTGTAAATATCATGCCCTTGGTTCTGTAACTCTGCCATTGGATAGGTGGGCATTCAGTGATTTCTAACAGATCTTAAAGGGTATTTAAGAATTTGGTGAGTGGAAGATAACAGGGATGGGTGTTCCAGGGAAAAGAAAAAATGAATGATGGAGGAAAAAGATTTACGATGAGGGCATCAACAAGTTTCACATTTCAACAGAAACACAGGATACACGCTAGGGGTAATTGGAGATAAGAGTAGGAGGTTGGACTCAGTATGTATACTTCATTATGAATGTTCATTTCACATCACACTTAGCCTGGGCTCCATATTTCCAAAGCCTGGCTTCACATACTGCCTCAAACTCTAGTGTGAAATTGGAAAATGTGAGAGTGCTTGAGCCTATCAGGTAATGACCAATTGCTATCATTTTAAGTAGGATAGCCAGATTTAGCAAATACAAATCTAGGATACCCAGTTAAACTTGAATTTCAGTAAAAAAAAAAAAAAAAACTTAAAAAAATATATAAGTACGTTTCATAGAATATTTGGGACATTATACTAAAAATTATTTGTTCCCATCTGAAATTCAAATTTAACCGAGTGCCCTGTATGTTATCTGGCAACTATAATTTAAAAGACGAGAGATATCTAAGTCATTTTCCTCTTAACTGTAACTATAATTCTTTGTACTTTAGATAAACACTTCAGGGATTTTCCCTTTCCCAGTCACACTTTCTTATTCTGTACCAAAAACAATCATCCTCTGCCAAATCATCCTTCTTTCAAGTTGATTCAAGGGGATGTAGGGAAAATGGAAGTTGCCATGTCCAGGATCCTCACCTAACCCTCATCTACCTGCCCACTGCACACATGCAATGATGTTAACTGACATACCACGTAGGCACATGCTTGCACATGCATTGGCAGTTTCTGCTATTATTGACTGTGTTGTTATGTAAAGAGCTCCATCCAGTGTTCTGCACAGCTGGCAGAGGTGGAGGTGGAGATGGATTGTAGACTTGTTGGATGTGGATGTGATCCTGGAGCTCTGCCTGCCATCACAAGAATAAAGCTTGGTATAAGACCTTTTATCCCTAAGATTGCATTGTCATTATTTGGTCTCACTGAAGCCAGAGCTGGAAACCTCCAGTAAGATAGTGGTAAAAAAAAGAGATGCATTGTGGAGAATCACAGATGGTCCTAAGGGTAATCAGTACATGATGTGACAGTACTACAAGAAGGGATGACAAATTCTATGGATAGTTATTTTCTGTAACATTTGCCCTTTTAAGAACTAGTGCTGAAAACAATAACAAAACTGTAGTTCATTGATAATCACCCAGCTATAGTCCAACAGATAATCAATTTGTTAATAATGCCAAACTTAATTTTCCTGGGAAGCTTCTGATTTTCTCCTAGATCAGGCTGTAACTGTAACACAAGACAGTTACCTTGTAAATATATAGCACAGTAAAGTAATGTTAGTATTGTAAGAGTAATAGCAAGAGAGATAGTAATAATAGCATGTTTATTAATTACTTACTATAGGGCAGCCACTTTTGCAATTGTTTCTTATGAATTATCTCATTTAATTTTAGTAAGATAAACTTCATCACACAGAAGTTAATTGACTTGCCCAAGTCTAAATAAGTAGCAAAGTGAAAAGCCAGGCCCACTGGGTTAAAGATTGGTATTAGCCAGAAGCTCCTAGTAGACTGCATTAATGAAAACCATTTCACTACTGGGACAGTGACTCAAAGCAACGACTCTTCCGTAAGGAAGCATAGCCTTGGTGTAAGCCAACTGACTCAGGTTCAAATACTGCCTTTGGCACTTCTTAACCGATACTTTGAGTAGCCTGGTTTAGCTTCTCTGTATTTTAGTTTCCTTACCTATAAAAGGGAATTATGAAACCTATATTATAGAGTTATAGTTTAAAATTGAGTTATTTTACACAAAGAACCTGATATAATGTAGACTCAATAAGCAGTAATTGAGTTACTATGGCTATTCACTTATGTCCAAACTGGTTTGCACAGATTTTTCTTCCTGTAGAAATGTGGTCCTAATGTTCATATGTAGATAAAATAGAAAAAAAAAACCCTTCTCTACTATTTCTCTACTTTCCATTCTATTAGGGTTGTCCTGTATATGTGTTTTAAATAAATGATAGATGTAAAACCAGATGTCACTAAGAAAACTAAGATATAAAGGAAACAAAAAGCTAAGCATTTGTCAGTGTCTGTTAATTCAAAAACATTCTGTAATTTTTGTTTCTAATGGAATGGCTATATCCATCCTAATGACTTAGGTCCTTGTTCCTACAAAATAAATTAAAACAAGAATGGCACTTTTTGATGAGAAATAAATCATTGTTGCTTGAAAGGATAATGTTGAAATGCTGATATTACACTAAAATATTTACTTGTATCTACTTTTTTCTGAAAACACACCACACACACACTTGTCTTTATTCCTCTGGTTATCCTATTTTCCTTGCCTGCCCTTTTTTCTGTGTATCTATATTTTATTCCAGTTCCTGCTTCATGTTTCATGCCACAGATCTACAGAAAAAAGTGTTATCTTTGATCACCCAGTTTTTTCTGACTAATCCCTTTTCCAAACTCCTTTAGGAAACTATAAGTTAACATCATGTTATATTGTATAATTCACAGAAGTAAAGCTCATGGGTGGAAAGAGCATATAGTTTGGAATCCAAGTCCCTGTTTTCCTAATTTCAGAGAACAGAACGGTCAGTCTTATTCATCCTTCCCAAAACAATTTCAGTGTTGAGACATTAATAAATGTTTACTCAATTAATTGCTCTCATAATTAGAACTAACATATGGCAGTGATTGGCACATTGTAAATGCTCAAAGTATTAATTTATTTCCCATTTTTATTATAAGCATGGTCCTTACAAAACGATGCAAGTTCATGGATCCCTTACTGGGAGTTGAGCTTGACTGTATAGGTTCCCAATTGGATTGGCCCTGCATTCCAAAAACTGAACAACTAAAACCCTATTTCTAACTGATTAACAAGTCCTTAATCAACCAACTGGCTCTAATTTCAAACACTGAAAAGTAGCCATCATGAATAGGATATTATTGATATTTTTTCAGGAATAGAACTTCTAGAGAAATATGGCTGATCATATTTTTTCAAAGATAACCATCTCATATGTACATTTTACAATGTGACATTGATAGACTTCCAACAAGAAGCAGAGTTTATACCCTCCCCCACTGTTCATACCTGGATGAACCATTGGAACTGCCTCAACTGAGATTGCTTAACAGAAGTGACATTATGTCTTCCCAGCCTGGCTCTATCTCTCTCACGATATTCATCTTCAGAGCAGTAAGTCAATATGTGAAAAGTCTTGCTACCCCCAAGACCCCATCGTGGAGAGAAAATGCGAAGAAGCCACATGGAGTGAGATGCTCAAGGTGCCCTGCTGTGTAGGTCTCTAATTTTCTTAGATCAGGTGTCAAACCATGTGAGATAAGCCTTCAGTATGAAACCAGCCCCGGCCACTGTCTGATCAAACCTCACTGGAGACCCTGAGTCAGAATGCCCACACGGGCTGCTCCTGGATTCCTGACCCACAGAATTATGAGAGATAATAAATGATTACTATTGTGTTAAGCCACTAAATATTAGGGTGATTTGTTGTACAGCCATGGTAACAGGAGCAAGGCAATTGGGAAAAAAATCTTCTTTAGCCTAGTTAAATCCAAACTGTCAGACAGATGAGCCATGCCTTAGAACATTCCATCCCTTAATCTAAGTGACCACTGTGATTGGGGAGAAGTAAGAACTTTGCCCAATTTGTGAGGTTTCTGTTGATTCCTGGGGTTGTGGCAACTGAAGAGGTCTAAGCTCTGTCCTGAAAAACTCATGGCTTTGGAAGGATACAGTATACTTTCTTCTGAACAGCTTTTCCAGTAATTAAAGTTTTATTTCCACATCCTTTTTAGTAAGTGTAAAAATACATTCCAAATCACTCTTTCCCTCAAAATGAGAAAAGGCGAAAGCAAAGTTCAAGCTTCAAATAAATGTAATTACTGGCCCTGCCTTCACTAAGGTCACACACCTATACTGTGGAGGGCATAGGGTGGTGGCGGGAGACTTTCACATCTGGATTACATCAAATCATATTGGTTTCAGCTTGAAGACTGAAATTTCTTGCCAGCATTCTTGTTATTAATCCCTTGATACCATGAAAGAAAAAAAAAATGTGGTTCTAAACTTTTTGTAAACTGGAGTTGGGCAAAAGCCTTCATGGCCAATATGCAATGCAGACTTGCTATGTGGTAACAAAGCTCTCCCTGCACTGCCATCGGGTGGAACAAACCGTGAAGTCTGCACCAGTGGGAAGAAGCAATAGGTTGGTTTTGCTCCTGGTCATGAGTGATGTGAATGAAAACAAAATGTGCGAATTCCAAAGGGGCTGAGAGCAAGAAGCCCACAGAGTTCATCAGTGGGAAAGGTGCTGAATGGTCACTGAGTTTATTTGGAATCGCCCCAGGGGAGATGTTTCCCGAGGCTTTGGTCGGGCCGGGCGGACACAGCACTGCTGATAGATGATTCTAAGGCCTAGAAACAAGAAAGGCAGATGGGGAAAAATTCTTTTTCCACGTGTTTTGCAGTGCCAGGGGATAGTGAGGAAAAGAGAAATCATGATTCTTAAACACAGTGTGGGCTCTTGACATCAAGAGTTGGCGTGAACTCTTAGCAATGTAAGGACAGAATTGAAGTGATGGGGAAACCAAAACTAGGTCCTGATATTTATCTCTTAGCTTCAAATGAATAAACACCTTTGGTTTATAGTGAATATTAAAAGCCTTTTAAAGACCTTTCACCCTAAATATTTCTAGACTATATGACCAGTATTTTCAAACAAGTTAGTACCTGATGCTCTAAGTCTGTCATTCAGGGTTTTCCTTTATCCTTAATTTAGAGTCAAGGTCATGAGGATGGATCTTGGGCTTACATCCAGAATCCCCACTCCCTGTGTGCTTGGGCAGACTTCTTAAATTCCCTGTGCCTCAATTTCCCCATATTTAGAGCCAGAGTAATGTGTGCCTACTGCAAAGTGTTTTGTGAAGATTCAGTAAGATTTAATTTGTAAAGGATATAGAGTAGTGGCTGGCACATATTAAGTGCTCAGTGACTTTCTGGTCTTTATTCTTCTGTCCAACTATACCTGTCTGAGCCACTTAACACCAAACACAGTTTTCTGCACTGGCTTTTAATCCGTCTTCTTACTTCCCTCTTCATGGTGCAGTGAACTGACTGTTGCCACTTGTGGCATTTGTTTTCACAAGTCTTAGCTGACAACAAAACCCGTCCTCTTTTTCTCGTAGTTTGAGTTAGTCAGTCTGTGTCTTAAAGAAGTCTTCTTTTTCACATTCAGTCTTACTCTTGGTTTTTAAAGCTAATATTTTAAAAGCCAACCAACCAGACACAAACCTCTGAATATGACTAAGGAGATCATTACTTGATCATGAGCTCTGTGAGGCTGAGGACCATGGCTGTTCTGTTCACTATTTTAGAGTACACATAATCCAACAAAACCGTGTTCTTTTTCTTTTTCTTTTTTTTTTTTTGGTATAATTACTTCCAGAATAAGTTGGTCTTACTCAAACTGGATAGTTTGAGGAGAAATTAATACAGGTAGAAGTAAGGGAGCATAACAAAGTCTAGTGCATTTGTTAAGGGATGCTAAGAGCGGGAAAGCTGGGAGTACCTGCTGGCCTGAAGAGGCCAAAGCAGAGGAGTTGCTAGGAGCCAGGGGGAGGCCAGAGGAGGTAGCTGTGTGGAGAGAGACCTGGTAGGAACTACGGTCTTGGTAGAAGGACACAGCAGCCCATGGGAAACTGCAGGGAACCAGCAAGGAGATGAGGGTCCTGCCTCCCTGTCTCCCTGCCTCTGATCTCCTCCTGGCACCTCCCAGGGACAGAGCATAACTAGAAGCCAGAGCTTAACGTAGCCTAGGCTACAGTCTTTTATGTTAAGGCTCTTGGAGCACAAAGGAGGGAGGGACAAGTGTGGAGACTGCATTTGCGGAGCAAAGAGAAGACCT